TGTAGGCCTGAAGCACTGTCACAAATGCACAGTCTGAGCAGAGTTCTAGCTCTGGCTGATGAGACCTCACAGTCCAGAAGCAAGAGAGCAGAAAGCTCTTTGTATAGAATTGAGAAAACAGCTGCCCTTTTCTCTGGCGCCACCCACTGTGCCTCCTTCCTGTTCCACCAAGGAGACGTCCCTCTCCAACCTCAGTGTGTCTGTGACCAAGCTGGCCAGACCTTGACCCCCAGCATCCGTGATCTCGAAGGACCTACTTTCCCTCCTTCCAGGGGATCCTCATTTCCTAATAGAGCTTCCTGAGTGTGGGGAAGAAAGCAATGCATAATAGAGTAGATTTGTCCTAATACTTCAACTATTTCCTAGTTACCATTTCCCTTCCGGCCCCAAATTCAGTTCTACCCCTTTTTTCCTTGGGGTCAGTTTTGGTCAGTTTTGGCTTTTGACGTCTTCCTTTTCTCCTCTTCTGAATCTACGCTGCATCTGAATTGCACCTTTCTCATACTGGTCCCAGGGGAGCTTTGGGTTCTATACCAGGAGAGCTGAGGGAAGAGCGATGTGTACATGAGTCTGCCCGAGCTTACGGAAGCACATGCCGTCACCTAGAGCAACTTGGGTTTTGGCCTTTGGAAAGCACATCTGGCAGCTTGGTGGGTTGCAAGTCTTTCCATGATGGTGTTTTGGCAGAATTCCAGGCACCACCCTGTGCTACTAAACAAGAATCTCTGTGAATGTTAACAGTATCTCTATCACTTCTTCTTTGGAGGGACTTTTCACATCTCCAACTGCTTTAGGGACACCTCTAATTTAGAGGTCCCTTTGGCACTTCAAAGCAAAGCTTTACAGGGAACCTTGCTCAGTTGAGAGACAGTTTACTGTTAAAGGGAAAAAAGTGGAGAAAGGAAAGCCAAGAGCATGCATGAACCTAAGGAATGTCTGCAGTCAGGAGGGATGGAAAAGAACCAAGCAGAGACAGAAAGGGGGCAGGTAAACAGATTGCCCCCACAGTCAAAGGAAGACTTGTATTATTTACATGTATAATGCCTAATTCATGTTTATAATATTTTGAAGTTGTTCATTGATTTTGCTACTCCCTAGATGGGGAAGTTTTAGTATCACAGAACAATCCATTTTCTTAGTATTTTTAAAATTTTTCTTTAAAGTTAAAATTATAGTCTTTAGTTTCAAATGAGATTTTCATATATCTTTGATAAACATAAAAATATAGTGCCTAAAGTATACTGATGGTTTAAAAAATTTTTTTATCTTGTTCTATTTTAGGCATACCAGATTGCTTAAAAAGAGGATTCTCTGATTGGCTTGTCAACAAAAATTTCAAGGTAAGTTTGGACAGAAGTGTCAAAAGCTTCCAAAAGGTCATTATTCTTCAAGATATCTTTTTTTTTTTTTAAAGATTTTATTTATTTATTTCACAGACAGAGATCACAAGTAAGCAGAGAGGCAGGCAGAGAAAGAAGGGGAAGCAGGCTCCTTGCCAAGCAGAGAACCCAATGCGGGGCTTGATCCCAGGACGCTGGGATCATGACCTGAGCCGAAGGCAGAGGCTTTAACTCACTGAGCCACCCAGGAGCCCCCAAGATATCTTTTTAACTTGGCTTTCTTTTCTTTTTTCTTTTTTTTTTTTTAAGATTTTTAAAGATTTATTTATTTGAGACAGAGAGTATGTGGTGAGGGGGCAGAGGAAGAAGGAGAGAAGACTACTCCTTGCTGAACACAGAGCCTGATGCAATGTGAGGCTCCATCCCAGGACCCCAAGATCATGACTCTGAGGTCATGACCTGAGTTAAATCAAGAGTTGAATGCTTAACCACCGAAGCCATCCAGGCACCCCTAACTTGGCTTTCATATATCCCTTTTGGTTCAAAATGGAGTGAACTCTGGCTATTTTGCCACTATCCACTTGGTCCAGACATTTAAATAACCTAGCACAAACTGGCAAGAGGTGGGAGCTGAAGATTTTCATTTTTCTTCTGTCTATAAGGCTTAACCACATATGAAGTCCTTTCATTAGTATCAAAACAGTAAATGACCTGAGTTGTTCCCACTATCGCCACACCTTCTCCACTCAGCATCAGAATGATCTTGCCACAGTGTCACTCCTCTGCTAAAATCCTTTCCATTTCTTTTCATTGCACTGTATCTAATACCCAACTCTCAAAGGCCTGGGAGACCCTGCATGCTTTGGTCCTCACTTCTCTCACTCACACTTGTTAGGCCTATAGTCATGCTGCCATTTCTGAGAACTCACCAAGCTTGCTCTTCGGTTGTAAAGCTCTTCCTGACTTTTGGCCTGGTTACTTTGACTTGTCTTCCTTTATATAACATCTTGGAAGTCACTTTTATGACTGCTCTTTCCAAATCAGGTCCCCTTTCTATCAGTCTCTGCTACTATACCCTTCTACTTATTTTATATCCATTATCACAATCTATAATTATTGTAATTACTACTCACTTTTTTTTAACTGTGTCTCATTAGAATGTAAGCTTCCTGAGGACAGGGATGTTTCAGATTCACTATTATATCCCCAGGGTGCATAGTACCTGGCATATAGTGAATGCTCAACAAATAATTGTTGACTGACTAAATTACCCAAAGCAAGTCATTCATTCCCTCAACAAATATTTGTTGAGTGAATACATGCTAGACTTTGAGGATACAACAGAGGACAAGGCAGACAAAATTTGAAGGTGGCCTAGGACAAAGAAAAATGACAATAGGTTATGTCTAGGAATAATCCTATGACAGTATGATACATAAGCACATTTTTATTTGTTATGTGGCAGACAGTAAACTTAGTGTCACCAAATGACTAGATAATATCATGCCTACTTTTGGATAGACTAAAGTGTAAAGAGCAAAGAAGAAAACAGGGCAAGTATATGAAAGAAAAAAAGAGGGGGAAAGAGAAGGTGGTAGCTCAGTGATGTCTCTATTTTCTGAAAACTTAAAGAATTATCTTTCTCATTCAATACTTACAATGAGGGTAAGATTAGAACCATACTAAAATGTGGCAAAACATAATCATCTAGATGAGTGTATATTTCAAAGCAATCCTCCAAGAAAGTTCTATATTTATTCTAATGATGCCATCAATCCTCAAAACACTCATAAGACTGTCTTTTTTCAAATTGCAGCAAGAGATAATTTACTAACCATAGAGAAAAAATACAATTCATTTTTTATCCCACATGGTATTTCCCAGATTGAGTTCCTACCATATTCACTGGATTTGCTTTCTGAGATGGTTTTTAAAATCAAATTCATTCCTAAAGGGCAAAGATTTATCATACAGAGAATATTCTAAAACATATGCTCTTCAGTCAATCCTCAGAAAAGAGTTCCAGAAATGTTTGAGCAAAGACAGGCTCTTTTCAATGACCACTGTAAAGAAGATGGCATTCATTCTGATAAGTAAATATAACTAATCTGACATCTGATTCTGTACTTTTTATGTAGAGTATAAAGCTGTTTTTTATTTTTCTCATTCAGGGTCATCATGATGGCCACCAGTTATTAACCCATGTTAATAAATACAGGAACATTCTAAGTTACTGATGTGTGTTGGGCTGTCTCTATTGCATATTGGGTCAAATTGCAATGCTTTTCATGTTTTTGTTCGGATTTAGGGTTTTTTTTCTTCTTATGCAGGACCAATCTTTCAGTTGCCATTTCTTCTTGTTATTAGTAAGCTTGGACCTTGCAAATATCCTGCTTATGAAATTGCTGTTTCTAATATGTTATGGGCTGAGTGACTATGTAATTGTGAAAGGGCAGAGGTGGTGAAGAGTCCTATAACTATAAGGCATACCATCTTTGCAAGACGCAGGTTGTTGGTATGGCTGAGTCAGGAAGAAATGGTGGGTGGCAATTAGCATTGCAGTTGTTCATCTTATCCCAGGATGGACCAGAGATAAGACTTGTTCCCCTATGAAGTGGACAGAACTCCTTCTAGCTTGAAGTTAGAGACAGATGTAACCCAGGGCAAAAAGTTGATAAGAATGTTCTAAGACAACTTAATTCTATAGCTGCCTTTGTAAAGAATGAAAAAAAGTTTATAAATCTTCTAAGTTAGAAAATGGTCTAATACTTATAAAATGAAATTAACAAAATAAAAAATAAACTAAAAAAATTCTAGGAAAAATGAAAAACACATAGCCAATTTTGGATTCTGTACACAGAGAGTAATATGACAAAAATTCTTGCCCTTATGGGACTTGTGTTCTTCTGGAATATAACAGTTATATCAATAAATGTAAATGGGATAATATCTCCCTTAAAGACTCCCAGATTTGACAAAAACTAATAAAAGCCCAACATGTGTGGTATATATCAGATATGCATTTAAAACTAAAGAACTTGAAAAGAATGAATAAAGACATACCAGGCAAATGAAAACAAAAAGAAAGAAAGAAGGGTTGAGATATTAAGTACAAATAAGGTTCATTTAAAGACAAATTAACTGAGCAACAATATCTAGGAAGGTTAAATGAACATGCTTTTTAGTTTCCCGTTACTATCTGAATGTCAGACATATCTGTGGAGAGCCCTCAAGAAGAGGTGTTGATAAGTAACAGAGAAGAAAAGTAGGAGCTAATGAAAGGAAAAAGTGATACAAAAAGATGTTTTCTGTTGGAAAATGATAGAATCCACCAATTATTGGCCTAGGTGAAATTCAGTAGTATAAGATCACACATGGTCTTTTTGATACTTTTCAAGAAAAATCTAACACCAAATGTAATGTGGATTCCATCTCTACTTCCACTAACTATGTGACTTTGAGCATCTCATTTAACCCATTTGGATTTCAGTTTAATCATCATCAAATGAGGTGGTGGGATGTGATGACCTTTCCTGTGAAATAAGTCCTAAATGCTGTGATTTCACTGTCATTAATATACATAAGACCTTGATATTTCAAATATATATGGAACACTGAGTTAAATAAGATATTTTTGGAAGAAATTGTTGTGGACTGTACCTTTCATTTTTCAGTGTTACAACCTCTTCCTTTGTCTGAGTCAGAAGAGTTTTGGTTATCTGTAGTTCATTTTCTGCAAGGTTAATTCTTTTTTTCATGTCTTCTTCTTGTCTTTCTTTTGCAGTCAGTTCTTCCTGTAAAGTTTTATATATTTGTTGACAAGCCATTAAAGAATCCTCTTTCTCTTTAAGCAATCTGGTATGCCTAAAATGGAACAGGATTTAAAAAAAAGCTCACCAATACACATTAGACACTACATTTTTATGTTTATCAAAGATATGTGAAAATCTCATTTGAAATCAAAGACTGTAATTTTAACTTAAAAGAAAAATTTTAAAAATACTAAGAAAATGGATAGTTCTGTGATATTAAAACTTTCCCATCTAGGGAGAAGCAAAATCAATGAGCAACTTCAAGATATTACAAACATGAGTTAGGTACATGTATAAATAAGATAGTAAGAAAAGTTAAATATATCTCAAATAAAATGTTACTTAAAGTATGGTTTCAAATTCAATGACTAAAAATATTAATTTAAAAATTTGCAATGTATACCTTGATTCAGAAATAATGGATTCAAACTTCAGTTTTCTAAGTTCTCTTTGACAGTCAGCAGCTTCATTAGATTTATTCCTAAAATAATATAAAAGGTTCAAATATTTTATTTCAAAATAGTTCAAGTATAAATGTTTTCCTTTTTTAAAAACATGTTTTTCCTTTATTACTTTTCTTTTCTTTATATTCTATTTGTGATTACATATGCGTACTTCCTTGAGATTAGATATATAAAGTCGAGGGGTTTTTCTCTGCCAAAAAAATCACCCGATCTGTTAGTCCAACAATGTGTTTTTCTATATCATTATTTTATTCATTTTTAGGAGAAATTTCTTAGCATCTTTATATTATTATTTCTTTAAAAAAATAAACATTCAAGTCACTTCTATAATGGCTAAGTAGGCCCCTGTCAGACTCATCTGCATACAAATAAAAAGTCTAAACTTTGAAGAACATTAAAAAAAGTAAAACCCCTATTCGAAGGCATTGGAAAGTGAACAAAAACAAGAAGATTCTGGAGGGAAGCTGACACCTGGAATGAGGTGATAGCATGGGGTCAGGGTTTGTGTGTGTGTGTGTGTGTGTGTGTGTGTGTGTGTGTGTGTTAATGATTTCAAACATGAGAGTCCAGTCTGCATCATGTAGGGGAACTAACATTCTAATAGAAAACATAGTCTGGCCTAAAGAATTAGAGCACAGTGTTCGGGTCAACCACAGTGCTGAAAAGTGAAGAGTGACTCAAAATAGGAGAGTCAAACACAGGAAGTCCCAATACTACCCTACACAAACATCTGGCTGGGCTCTGAACTCTTCATGCACAGGGCAGACTCCAATTAGGATAAAGATAAAACAATTAAACAGAGATCTGAGCTGTTGCGGTAAAGAGAGTTTACAGTCTGAGGCCAACCAAACTATTTGCTTAAAGCAGCAACACCCTCACCCCCACCAACAATAGTATTTGGAGTATTTGGAGAAATATAATAGAATCCAGAATTTCTATAATATAACATTTACAATGCCCAGAATATAATAAAAATTACTCAACACAAGCAAGAACAGAAAAGCATGACCTATTCTTCACAGAAAAGACAGTTAATAGGGACTGCCTCTGAGATGACCCAGATACTGAAATTTGCAGACAAGGATTTTTCAAAGAGCAGTTATACTCTGCTCAAAGACATAAAAAAAAAATCCACTCAAATTAGTGAAAAGATGATAAATCTCAGCAGAAAAATAAACCATTAAAATGAACCAAATGGAAATTCTAAAACTGAAATAAACATATGTCTTGATTTTATGTAATTGGGTTTTGTAACAAAACTCAAAAAGTTAATATATTAAGAAAGAGTAATATTCCAGTTTAAGTTTATATAGGCTATTTATTAATAAGTCATTATCTGAAAGTACCTTAAAATAGTTTATAAACCTTACAATGAACTATATGTTAGATTGCCAATGAATTTGCCCTACTTATAGAATGACATTAATTTCTAATAAGTAATTATTTATTTGCATAATGAATATGTACAACATTCATTTATTTTTAAAATAATTTTATTGTAAAATATGATAAAATTATAAGCTATAGGAAAATTGCATAAAACAATTATATAATGAATTATTATAAGGAGAAAACTCTTATAACTACTATCCAGGTAAAAACATAAAACCTGACCAGCTACCCTAGAAGCTTCATGTCCCTGGTCCCAGTCACAGAGCCCCCATGCTCCCTAAAATAACCATTTTCATGAATTTCATAGTAATCACTTTGATTTTCCTTAGCATTTTATTACTCAAGTTTTATCTTTGAACACTACATTTTAGCTTAACTTTTTCTTCTCAAAAAAATGTCTTTTTAAAACATGTTATTTTCATTATCTGCTTTTTGTAAAATCAATGAAGGTATCATGTTGACACACAGTGAAGTACATATATACTTTGATATGTCTGACATATATACAAGCCCGTGAAACCATCAACAGAATCAAGCAGCACACGAGCCTACTCAAAGCCTAGATCTTGGTCTCTAACGCCACTCCTATTCAAAGGAACCAAGAGTACTCAGAAATGGCTGATTCCAAGACTAAGGCAGAGTAAGTATATCTGAGATACCTTGTTATGTCAGAAGGTGAAGAAGTACTTATAAAAGATGAGGAAACATGGGCGCCTGGGTGGCTCAGTGGGTTAAGCCTCTGCCTTCGGCTCAGGTCATGATCTCAGCGTCCTGGGATCGAGCCCCGCATCGGGCTCTCTGCTCAGCAGGGAGCCTGCTTCCCCCTCTCCCCCGCCTGCCTCTCTGCCTACTTGTGATCTTTCTCTCTGTCAAATAAATAAATAAAATCTTTAAAAAAAAAAAAAAAAGATGAGGAAACCACATTCCAATGTCACAGAAGGCAGCTTGAAGGGGCTTCTACTGGCTAAGCCTAGATAATTTATGTATCAAAGCAATTCAATACAGTAATCAATTATAAACCATTGAAAAAATAAGAGTTCATAGGTTCACACCAATAATAAATAAATAAATAATGGGGGGAAGTGGAGGCTCTTGCTTAAAGTAGGATAGGGCTAATAAATGGGGAGGGAGGGCTGGAGTCAGAAAAATCATTTAGCAACCACTGTATTAGATTTTAGATAAGGTAAAAATAATTAATAGATACTATATTGAGAGATAAATTTTGATGAGGAGGAGAGCCTTTAAAGTGTATTTAAAGTGTCTCTTATAGACTGCTTACTAGTTGAAAAGGAACAACAACAACAAACCCAGGAATAAGGGAGTGAAAAAATTGAGCAATACCTTCACCAGGTGATCAAAATTAACATAACCTAGTGAAGGCAGGCAGGTAGTCATACCCTGAGAAGGACACATCCTCACTTACATGGTTTTCTGGTTAAGAGTACATGCCCCTAATCCAATCAAAAGGAAACATCAGACCAATATAAAATGAAAATTTTTATTTAAAAAATTTTGAGGAGTTCTGCATTTTTCAAAAAACGTCAATGTCATAAAAAAAGAGAACCTGGAAATATTCCAGAATTAGGAGGCTAAAAAGACATGCCAAACAGGCTGACTCTACTGGTCCTATACTAGAGGAGAAAATGCTAGAAAGGCCAACTAACAAAATTAGAATATGGATGGCAGATTAAAGGACTTTATATAAATTTATGACACAGATTACTGTGCTTTTTATTATGTTATGTTAGTCACCATAGAGTACATCATTAGTTTTTGATGTAGTGTCCCATGATTCATTGTTTGCGTGTAACACCCAGGGCTCCATGCAGTGCTTCTGTATTGAAGTATCACCATCCTGAGGAAAGGCAGGCTAAAGTACTTAGAGGTAAAGGGTCATGTTGTATGTAACTTACCCTCAAACAATTCAGGAAAGAAAAGTGTGTGTGTGTGTGTGTGTGTGTGTGTGTGTGTGTGTGTGTGTGTGTGT